GCTACCAATAGCCATTTCTGCATAGAGAGAAAAGTGCCTAACACTTGTGCTTAAATTCCCCAGAGTAACTGTTCATGATCACAAATTTGGCTAAAGGATTTTTTTCATTACCCTCAAACATTTCCTTTCACCTCCAACCTCTAGGCAGAGCCATCGCTTTCCCTTTAGAGCAGGGAACATAAAGCCATGGGGCCATCGGGGCTGGCTGTGCCTGACCCCGAGGGCCCTTCTGTCAATCACTGCCTCCCCATCCCTTGCTCTCTTTCACACCAGGCAGCTGTACCCATCGCTGTCAACCAGGTAACAACCAGCAAACAATAGAGGCCTGAATGCCTGGTCTAGACACTCTTTTAGCCACTTATTTGCTGCTCTTGGCAGCTGTTGAAGCATAAATAAGCAGTTTGTAATCAGAAAGCTGACATCATTGCAGCTCAGCTGAGAGGGGGAATTGTTGCCGTGCACTGAGCTGGTTTCCCCATTCTCCCCCCCGCCCCAGCCCCTTCCCTCCTTCATTTTGTGACAACAGATTCTGGGGTGGGGATGCAGATTTCTGCTGGGCTAAGCTGCCTTTTCTTTTTATTTCTACAGTACAATGATGCAGGTCATGGAAAAATGGCACGCATGTGGCAGTGTAGTTTGCAACTACCAAAACTGAAAAGTAAAAAAAAAAAAAGTAAAAAAAAAAACCCACAAAACAAAAAACAAACTACAGAAAGAACACAGAAGACCTCACCTGCAAATAAATGGCGTCCTGTCTTACACATTCAGAAAGCACTTCGAGGTTCATAAATATTTTGAAATAAAGGGTAGTATTTTAATAGATTGACCACAAACTGGGCAGATGGGCAGATGTTCCCTGTCCTGATAGGTATTTTCACCCTTTCATTTTCTTTTTCACCCCCTGGAAGGAGAGAGGAGGTAAAAACAGTCTTACCAGAGCTGAGCGCACACTTTCTAACAAACTCTGGTTTGTGCCAGCATGCCTCTGTTTCTGCTTTCCAAATGCCCAGCTCCACATCTCCCAACACTGCAAACATTTGTTGTTCGAGTACATTTCATACACTTTTAACACTTCGGTTTTTTCTACTTTGTGGCTCGATCGTAAACAAGTTCACTGGGCAAATTTGACACAATATTTGAAACTCAAGCTGGGTTCCTCGGGCGGGATTGGTGGGGCGAGGCACGTGGCAGCGCTGCTGTTCCCTGACTGGGGGAAGACGGCAGCATACCCAGTGCAAATATTTGCACATGCAAATTTAGAATTCATTTTCCACAAACACTCGCACGTATGACTTTCAAATTAGCTTTCTGCAAGCATTCATGCTGCTAAGAAACTCTAGTTCAAATATTCATAGAAAGTGAACATAAAAGGGCCACAGGTTTAGGTGATTTCTTTTCCTTCTTTCTTTCTTTCTTTTTTTAAGAAAACAGCCCCTGAGTGAATATTCATGCTGATGTCCTTGCAGTTTTTGTCCAGTTCTGTTGTTTTATGGCTGTCCTCCTTTAACGTTGAGAACTGATATATGTTCATGTGGTAACAAACAGCAACAGCAAAATGTGCTGCCTCAAATGTATAGTCAAAACATACACTTTGTAATCAGTTGTGCATTTGTTGCTCTTTATTGATGGGAAAGTAAAGCACAGTGTGTAACCTTTATAATATATACACCATATCTTTCCCCATAAATATATAACCCCAGATGTCTCTTTTGCATTTCATTTGGTCAGTTCTGATGATGACTGTGGCAATCATGGGAAAGAAGCAAAGGGCTTTTTTGAGGGGCTTTTTCCGCTAGTTGTTTACTTATTTATTTTTCTGTGTGCACTTTATGCATGCAATCAGGAAGGGAGTTGAACTTTCTCACTCTTGTGGAGCAGAGTGCAAGTTCCACCAGTGATGTGTCAAACTCTGATCTTACTGCCTGTTGGTTGGTACATGGAGGTAGGGGTGTGTGCCAGTGTCTGTAGGGTTTGCTAACTATCTGAAATACCTTTCGGTATCTCTGTCTATCTCCAGTTTCAACAAGAAAGAAGGACAGTTCAACAAAAATATTGACTTTTTATCTCCCAAAGGCTTTCTAGTATTAGTTTGCTCTAAGTAGCTCATGATTTAGAGTACAAAGGCATTTCCAGAATGCATGTTTAACAAAATGACATAGCAGATAATTGAAATTTATTTGCAATTTTCAAACTACAATAAACACAATTCTCCTTTTCTTTCATTAATAATCGCACGGCTAATGCATAACAATCCCTCTGCAGCTTTTACAAGCAAACTTGAGCTGCTGTGTTGTAATAGCTGGAAAAGTTAATGTAGCTTGAACAAGGTTCCTAATTGTCCCTGTCTCTGTCATATTTGTCTACTTGAATGGTCCTAAATACCACAGCGATTAATTACTACAGAGCAGGTATTACAAGATGTTATCATCCTTCCCCAACTGTCTGGGTGAATGGAGAGAGGCAGTAGATTGTTGCAGTGTTTCATCTTTGCACTTCCTGTAAGGCACTTTAACCAGAAGATTTAATGTGTCAAAGTTAACTGCGTTCTCGTGCAGATATTCACATTCTAATTAAAGATTAAGAACGTAGTACATTACACTGTGATTTGTCATACATGGCTTGTTAAATAGGAAACCTACCGGGATTCCCTAACATTTTATAAACATTATTCAGGGCTTTTAATGTGGGCAAAGGAAAAGATTATTCAGCTGCTCTGCAGAGTAGAAGGCAGGTCATTTCTCCCCCCTCCCCGTCCTGCCTAAGCTCCCCCTCTCCAGATAAATAAGAAAACTCAGGTGGTTTTCCAACTGGAATTCTGTTGAGATCGCTTTAAACTATTTATCTTCCCACTGTATGTGTGCACAAGGAGATGTATGTATAGAGATAGATAGATAGATAGATAGATTAGATAGATGATAGATAGATAGATAGATAGATAGATAGATGATAGATAAAAATATATGTTCTAATTATTTTTTGGAATTTTTCAACTTTTGTTGTCAGCTCTGTAATCTGAGGTTGGAAGTATTTGAATTAGATTGTGAAAGAAGAAAGATAAAACAGTTTTTCAGTGTGCAGAGTGTGCTTTCAGATGATTCTAGCAATGCTGAGCAGCGTACCACTTCCAGTATTAGTAGCAGAGGACTGGTTCACATTCTTTGATTGCCTGAGGAATAAATTAATGAGGTTACTGGAGACATTGAACATTTGCATATTCACGGATGCTTATTAGGTATAAAGTGAATGCCAGGTGCGTTGAATTTTGGGAATACTAGCTTTGGGTTTGGTCTTCTATTTTTAAAGCAATCGCATCTTTTTTTTTCCCTAAAGTGGGAAGTTCTGTGAAAAAAAAAAAAAAGCAGCATTTGTAAAAATAATAACACCAAAAAAAAAAAAACAACCTCAAATTAATTCAATACGGACAAAGCTTTGCTATAAGATATGCATCAGACTAAATATGATACACCATGAGGCTGGGGACTATCAGTATATCTTGTTTGGAATAACAGTTAAAATGACTACAGATATAAAAACAGTTGTTCCAAGACATAAGGAGAACCAATGTTATATTTTGCACTGTGCTCCTTATGGATTTCTAGTTTTAAATAGCGATAGGCAAGCTCATTATGAAGTTACCTTCCATAATGCCCAATTCTTAATTTTAAAGCACCGATATTTGAACACATTTTGTTATAGCAAGTATCAAAATCAGCCTCCACAGCACAGAAGATAGAATTACAAAATTTGCTCGACTGTTTCTCCAAGGAGTATCTGCACATGGTTGCATTGTTGTCAGTGACTTCCATCATTGCTGTGTGAAAGCACATTGTGTGAATTATTTCCACTGTATCTCATTATTCCTGGAAGTTTTTATCTATATTGTATATTTGGGATCGTTATCCCCTTTGCATTCTTAAAGATTTTATGGTGTTGGGTTTTTTTTGTTTTTTTTTCCTTCCCATTCTTTGGTTATCCATATACTATGGCGCCCAGTATTAGCCCTGTTTGCTTTAGCAGAGAAATATCTGTCAATTGAAACAATGTGTATTGTTTGTTCTGCCTTTTGCTTGTCTTTTACAGTGTAAGTATCAAGCATGTACATGTGTACAGATTGCAGTTTTATATGCCCTGCACATAGATAAATACAAACACACGTGCCCACACAGATGTGCACCTACGAAATTATTGGTATCACCTAGTTCTAAGTAGCTGGTGTAACAAAATCAAGCAGTGATAAGTGTTTTCTTTGGGTAATAATATGTATTTACAAACAGGCTCCCTTCTGCCCCCTTGTTTCACAGAATACTGTGCTCAACTTCCCTTTCCTGGATGTTGCACTGTGTTGATCACTGCCCTGCCTCTGCAAATCCTATTTGAAAATCTCATTTGCAGCATAACTGACAACAAAGGCATTACATGCTGTATGCCCTGCGTATTCTGCAGACTATTCCTTGCCTTTGTAAGTTATTTCTAACTTCTAATGAAAATACTGTGTGATCATTTGATGATCTTTTTTATTTATTAATAGTCTGTAAAATTAAGTGTGTCTAATCAAAGAATGGATCCTTTCTTAAAAGTGCAAAGTGGAATGCATTAGATCAGTGGTACAAAAAGCAGATGTTCTTTACTGCAGTAGGCCTTTCTTTGGGTACTCTAGGAAACAGGACTTAAACAAAACAATAAACTGGAGAGGATTCTGAGGTGCAAATGCTGCCAGCCACTGCAAGGCACAGAAATCCTCTTTAAAGATGCTTTTTCTCTGCATTTGTTTCCAAACTGTAATTCTGCTCTGTGATTAAAAAAAAAAATAAGAAAAATGATTTGATATTTCAGTCTGTCAGGGCAGCTTCTGAATAATTACAATGCAAAATGATCTACTATATGTTTATTGAATATCGTCTTGCAGAGACAAATGTGCATTTTATTCACAAAGGTCATTTTTTAAAACACCCATTGTAGCTGCTTCACTAACGTCCAGGGGTTTTTGCCATGCACGCAGCACAGATTTTTTTGATTATGTAGATTTTTTTTCCCCTATTGCAGTTTCATATGCAAAGCATGCATCAGCCACATCCATGCTATCTCCTAAAGCAGTCATTCTGAAACCCAATCTGGGGACAGTGCAGACTAAATAAAATTTCATTTTGATTTGGCCTCCCGCTGAGAATGGGACTGCTTTGTTTCAGCCGACAGAACCAGCAAGCCAGAAAGGTATGTCCTGTTTTGCATGGCTGATGGTGTGACTTGAGGATCACAATCAGGCCGTTCATGCTCTCAGGGCTCGGCATCTCATCCACATCCTGTACCGTCTTTCTCTTTTCCTTGCCATTTGCTTTCCTTCTGTGCCGCCTGCCGTCTACCTGCAGGGCAAAGCTATGGCAGACCCTCACACTATTGTTTACTTTGGCATATGTTTAATAGCTGCATGGCTGTTTCAGGGTAGGGTTTTTTTCCTTTTTTTTTTCCCTCCCCACCCCCTGCCTTTGTTTTTTCCCTTCCCTATCCATGTTCACTTTCCTTATTTTCTAGGTGTTGAATACACAAATACTGAATTAACGGATAATTATGTAAGTACTGCTTGCAATGCTTTGGAGATTTTACTATGAGATTTGTAATGCAGGATTTTATTGTGAGTCTGAGGAAACATTTAACAGCTTTGAAGGACTTCAGTTTTCATAGCCCTTTAGAGCCGTTTAGGCAGAAAAGCAGTCGCACATTATAGTTAGGAGAGGAAAAAAAAAACCCAACAAACCACTCTTAGGAAGGGATCTGGCTGCTTTGCCATCTTCACATGCTTTATAGTTACAGCTGCAGTGTTTAGGGGTATATGAGTAAATATTTCTGTCTCTAAATATTAGTATTTCTCTTAAAGCCAGTTTGCATTCCAGGAGAGCCTGTGTAGCATGCTCCTCACTGCTGCTGCTGCCCCATCTTTCAAAGAAGGTGTTGGCATTTAGGGGAATGACTGCTGTTTTAGCCTCTGGAGCAGTTTTTGGACAGGGCAGCAGGATGCCTGAAAGACTCCTCATGATGCGAACTTACTCCTCAAAAGTGTATTTCCCTATGAAGCCATGCTATTCCTTGTCTGTGAATATTATATTTTTGGGGGGGGAGGAGGTGGGGGTGGAAGTTTCTCATGTGAAATAAAATTAACATAAAATTTACCTCAGACAAAGGGCAAATTTTAATTTTGACTACTATGTATTTTGATATGGACAATGTCCTGTTTTCTTAGTGAGGTAGAATACAATTATAACTCCAAAGAAAAAATCAGTCCTTAACAAAAACCCCCTCAAATATGTAGCATATTCTATACAGCACTGACATTAAATGGGAATTAATGCCTTGGTTGTGATTTACAAACAGAATTACTCTTTGTATGAAACATGCCTTTGTGGTTGGTGATATTAGTAACAGCAGGTTGTTCAGCGAAGTCTGATGGAATGTACACAATCAGTTGTAACACTCTCTGGTCTATTTAGCAAGTTTTGTTCCCAGCTTTTACTCCAACTCCACAACTCCCAGTGTTACTCCAACTCCATAACTTTCATCTTATAACCAGATTCATGTTTCACTTTCAGACTTTATGAGCTGGCCAAGGATACAGGCCCTTGCCATAACCACGTGGACCTTCACATGGCAGTGCTGTGGCTTGAAACTTCACTTTCTTCCCACCTTCCATTATTATTATTTTTTTAAAGTAGGGGTTGGGACGCAAAGGCTTATCCAACAAAGGTTTGGAGAAATAGAGAGGTAAAAATAAGATGGCCCACTGGCCTCCCTGTAAGGAAGGGTCGGCCAAATGCTAGTTTCAGCTGCTTGCTTTAACCTTGGCGAACTCCAAAAGGATTTTCTGCACATGGCATAGCACAGGATCTGGCCCTGTGTGTTTTTTTGTTCAGAGATGTTTACATAGTGAAATGCAGCTTGAGAAGATTTTAAAGAAGCTATCTATCTGTAGTGATGTCTCATTTTCTTTAACAAATTTGGGGCTGTAAGAAAACTACAAAGAGACTTCATTTTTAAGAAACAAGAACTGCAGCTTTTTAAATTGATACAGTGGGAAAATGCTCAGTTCTGGGTGTTATTTCTTCAGTATCTCTAATCCTCCTGCTTCACCCCTCAGGTATCATTGGGAAGTTTTCCAAGTTATCAACTCTGCATTTTAATCAGAGTTTATAAAAACGACTTCCAACTTTATATTTGCCATGATTTCATTTTAACAGTTAAATATAAGTTTTAAGAGAAACTAAACTCTAGGTACTGTGTGGCAGTGTATCCTAATTCCTTGATGTCAGAACTCAGTCCTAGCAGGCCTTTTTTTTGCCCCAAAAAAAAAGTATTTTATATTACATCAATAGCTTCATTTTAAAAGAAATAATAATTAAATAAGAGGGTACACATGGATCACTTGGAAATAGACAACATTTTTGTATAAAATGCGTAAGAAGAAAAATAGGAGTGTTTTCTTTATTCCCAGGGATGAAGTATTTTTCAAAAGAGTGGTGTTTGTTACAGTAAAGGAAAATAATTTTAGCTCCAGAATGCACTTACTGTTCTGGATACTTATTTTATTAATTACATAACTGTTGCATTTAGCCAGGAATTAATGCAAACTTTATTCTGGTGCTCTTAGGAGATCAGTTCCTTTTTTAGATTGGTTTATTAGAGCTCTATTTTGCGGTCATATACTGGATCAGCAAAAGAAGTGAGCGGGTTTTGGAAGTTAGTTTTGCATATATAACTTCCACAGAAAGAAAACTGCAAATATATTAGCCCAAAGTCCAGAACAAAGACCTCATTCTTAGATAGTCTTATAAGGCTGCTCTCAGTGGACTTAGCAGTGTTCCTCATTATATTTATGTGCTTAAGAAAGGAATCAAATCCAAAATCCCAAATCAGCTACCTCTATCATACTATAACTGCAAAAAGTTCCAATATACTTGGGCACGTAGCATATTTACTTATGTGTTTATTTTTTAATGAAAAGGACTTAGTAATTCTCAGTCCTCTGAATTTCCTCTCACTTTTTGTGCTTTACACGAATGAGGTGGTATGACCAAGATAAGTCATATTGATGCCCAGAATCCTATGGAGAAAATAGATCATGTAAAACAGATAATATATGGCCAACTGGTAACCAGACGAATGCACTCAGGAGACAAGTGTCTACTTGCAGTGATACATATATGCACACTTGCATGTAAATTAGCTACATGCTGCCAGTGTATGTAATGCATGCATCTGTAAGTAAGTGTGTATGTGCAGATCTAGAAAAAGAGAGAGAAAGAGAGACGTAGGACATTGTCACCAGGGTCCCCGTGGCCCACCAATGGATGACACGTGGGCAGATACTCTTACTGTGATCATAAAGAAGATGAGAACCTGCATGGCTGGTGTATTTGCTGATCTCCAACCCATCAGAAACTTACAGCAACTCTGTGCAACTGATTATCTTAGAAATTCTGCTACAAGAGAATTCACAGTGGTCTGTGTTAGTATCTGCCTGAAAACTTGTTGAGGTCAGTAAGATCCCAGACATGAATATTTGACTGTTGAATCAGGGCCTGAAGATTTTGCAGTAGCCCCTTGGGCAAGCCAGGACAGACTAATTAACAAATCTTTGGAAAAAAAGTGGCAGAATCTCTCATAACGCTGGACTTAGGACATACCAGCAGAATTAATGAACAACTCATTCTCATTCAACTCAAAATCCTCATACTGATGTTCTTAGCTTAGTTTACACACCTGAATTGACCAACACCAATAAAAACGGTCTGAGAAACGGGTAGAAGATATTATAAAATTACATATCAAAGGACAATTGACTAGGAGCAGGTACTATAAAATTATGTGTTAAAGGAAAGCTGTAATACCGTGTCAGCAAGTATGAACATAGGAATCCATTGTATTCACAGTCCAAAAGGGTGAGTAGTACATTTGCTTCAGTCTGGGATATTTTTACCAAATCTCCTTAGAAATAAAAAAATTAAATCAAATCTAGATTTTTATTTTAAAAGGAAAGGATAAAGTTAATCATAAGCTTACTGTTCAAGTTCACAAGAGCAACAGTATTATAAAAATGAATGCCATCATTTAACCCTTCATATGGTAAGGTTTCAGGCTTTCAGAAAGTTTCTTTTCCTGACCACAAAAATAAAGCAGGCGTTTTCTCAGTTTTTAGGAGGTATTCTCCACTACAAGGAGGTCTTCTTCCTATAATTCTTTTAAATGGAAATCTAATAAAGCAGTCCAAGTAGCTGATTAAATGGCTGAGTGTAAACAGAAAACCAGCTTACAGCATCTACTTGGAAATCTAATATTTCGTGAGTGGGGAGAAGGAAGTCAGAAAATCATGTTGTTATTAGCATATATACACCAGTGGAAAATCCACCATTGGAATGACTATCAGAATAAAGCTACACTTGGGGAGGGTGCTTCTAGAAAGCACAGTTTGAGAGATGTTCAAAGAATAGAAGTTTGGAGTCTTGGTAACGCTGTCTTGAAAGATTTTTCTCAAAACAAATGTATCATGGCTTATAAATGTGTGAAGATTTTGTTGATGATATTGAAAAAAATAGACAATGTGTATTAGTTAATTATTTATCAGTCTTCTCTTATCAAGGCTGAAAAAAGACTTTTGTCTACAAAATATGGGGTAGATGGAAGAAATTGCTAGTGAACATCTAATGAATATTATATAGCACAGAAATGGACTACAGATTAATAAAAGCATCCTCTCCTTCATTAATTGTTCTTTACCCTACGGGGGTGGAGAAGGTTAGGTTATAGCAGCATTATGTCCTCACAATAAAATACATTTACTCTCCTAGTATCCAGTGCAATTGGTTATTTATTATATATAATTTTCTTTATTTTTGAAACTCTTTAACTCTACCAGCTGTCTGACAAATGCTCACTTGAAACATTTTTTTAAACTTTTGGAATCATTTGCATTCAATGGGAAAATTCCACGAGTAAATTGTTATTCATTAATTTCTTTTCTGGTGATGGACACATCTCAGAAGATTCAGAGGACTGTTTCAGACAAGTATAACAATATCAGTGTTTGTCTAAAGTGTTTCAAAAAATCTCTACTGTCATTGTATCCAGGAACCTCCAAATAATCACTATTTTGGGTTTTTTTTCAATGATGTCCAGCTTTACTTCTGTCCCTTTCTGAGTTTCCTTTACCAAGCAGGGCAATGTCTCCTCATGGGTGGCGGGTTGCATTTCAGAGGAAATTAATTCATTCTCCAATCCATGTTTCTTTCAGGAGTAACCCACAAAATCTTGATGCAGAGAACAGCCACAAGAAGTACTAGGAAAAGTTTTCTTCTGTAGTTTGTTTGTTTATTATTCTTCCCTCTCTCCCTCTACTCGTGAGTTAAATTTTTCCCAGATACATGTATTGCTCTTTACTGTGGAGATAATAAAAGGAGATTCCTATACCTTAAAATGAGAACATGAAAGGAGTGCTGCAGGAAGAGTTACAGTATCTCCTCAATCTCATTTTCACATGGGAAATCCAAAGTAAATAAAAATAAGTAACTTTAAAAGGGCATAA